ACATTTGATGACACTCCCCCTTGACCAAGTCGAAAGTGACAACAAAGACAATGCTTCCACACGGTAAGGGAAAAAAGGAAAAAAACTAAACTTGGCATGATTCGACAAGAACTTAAAAGCCTCCCAAACAGCAATCCAACAGTTTTGAATCGAAACAGATTAAGACAGAAATAAAATAAGTCTGAACTGACTTATATAAAGTGATAAAGAGACTGGAAGAGGCTGAGACACAAATTGCCAAAATAAAAGATAAAGACACGCTTCTGAAAAATACAAATATAATGTGCTGTCATATTTGTAGTGTATATTTGATGGGGTGGCTTGAGCTCGACGATACACCATATTCTTTCTGACTCTCCCTCCCTCTCTGTCTCTCGCTCACAAACACACAAAAAAGAGAAGAGGTCAGTGGATAAAATGCCTCAACCCTGACATTTTCTGTGTGTTTCTTTTTTTAGAGGTCAGGGAGAAGTCTTGCATATGGATGTATGAAGTAATGTTTTATGTGCAGATTGGTCTTTGTGTCTTTCAATCCACTTCTTACTGGTGAACCTGTACCCTGCATATTCAAAATAAAAGCATAGTGTGAATGAATAATAAAGAGGCTGATGTTTTGGAGCTTATGTTAACATCAATTTTTAATTGCGCCCTATTTATAAACTTCAAATGAACTCTGATACCTTGCTGCTTCTTCACACTTGGTTTGGGGTTTCCATAGCGACACAGCGCCTCTTAGTTCTTGATGTTCATTTGGGAAGAGGCAGAGAGACAATGGAGACAGTCAACTGTAACCAGGGATGTGATGCTAGATGAGAAGTCACATCCCCCATTACATACAGGAAGAGTGCAACTAACCACATGCATGTGCTGAATGGGTTTTAATTCATGTATTATTTATTTATTTTAAATGTTGAATGACAAATGCAAAACTTAAGTTTCTTTATCTTTAAAAAGTGCACAGCGCATTCCACGGCACCAAACGACAAGTATATGTTCATACTGTAAAACCTTTGTTTCATTATAGATCAACCGGTAATAACTTTGATGGTTTTCGCACCCTCAAATCTCAGTGTCCATGATTCTACGGTGAAGAATTTTCACATGCAGAATGCAGTTAAATGAATAACACTGAATATTGGCTAGTAAAGACAGGATACTTTAATCTAATCTAAGTGTAATAAAATGGCATTTAATTCAGGATAAATGCCCTGAGAAAGAATAGGGGAGGCTGTCGGTGCCTGAGGAAAAAAAACAGGTTTGTCCTCTAATGTCGGTCAAGGTGGTTTGCTTTGTCGTGTATGATTTAATCACTAGAGCAAGAATATGTGTGCAAAATATGCTAAATCTAATTTGTAAGGATGAATAGGAAATACATACAAAAGGAAATTATTAGATGTTCCTTTAGCACAGCAGTAAGAAAAGTGGTTTGAAGTGTCTACAAAGCCAATACTTGAATGAACGCCTGTCTCTCCCAATAAAACCCTTTTTCGAACAGGAGAAATAATGCCTGCAGTTCAAAGTGCCAGCTGTGGCGAGCTCAATTGTTTGACAATTTTGACACTGGAAGAGAAGAGAGGAAGAAACATCACAGTTTGAGACAGGCTGGACAAGACCAGAAAGGAAAGCATTTGTAACGCACTAAAACATAACTTTTATTAAGTCAGCTATTTCATTCATCAGTACTTAAAAAGAAAACATTTTTATTAATGCGAGTTCATTGTACAAAAATAACTTGGCATGTCACATTGACACCAAGGGAACTCATTTATTCAGTAGTTCGAACAGCAGGGAATTAACCATCAATAGCTTATAAGCATTAACTGATTTTGATTAACTAGATTTTATTATGACAATATTATTTTGAAATGTAATTGATTGCAGGTGATAAAAACCTGTTAGTAAATAGTAAAATGTTCTGCCTGAAAAAAAACTCATTCAAAAGTGTCTTTAAATGAAGTTGTGGTAAGTTTGTCTCTCTTTTCTTAACCTTTTTAATCTGAATGGATCATAATATGGATTTAAATGATGACCATTCTGACCTAATTCCTGAACACTTCCTGGTGTAAAATATTCATTGCTTTTGACAATGAGGCATGGGGAGATTGGAAATGTGCAGGAGAGGTGGTACTGTAGATCACTGAAGACAGTTTATCAATCACAAGTTGAATAGTCATTAGAGGGCTTCTACTTGATCAATAACTAGATGTCCAGCCAATCTATTTATATTTATTTTCTGTCAGCCTCGCAACTAATATTTCATTTATCTTTTTTTACCTTTTAAAAATATGTTATGTTTAGTCTTTTAGCCTTCATTTATAATCTCCTGATTATACCTGAGTTAATACATACCTGTCATTCAGCCGTTACAGTACTTTGTATCAGGTCCTTACGTGTTTGTATTGAACACATTTGACGCTGATGCCCTCTCAACATCTCTGGTTTGAGCACACAAAGGGATCTTAAAAGGCTTCTGAGTGCGCTGAACCGAGGCGGGCGCAGCCGGCTGGCAGCAGGGCCCAGTTCAAGATGGGGGCTGGCATTTACTGTCTCTCCCAGTCTGACTCAAAAGACAACAGTTTGAAGCAAGTCATGTAAAACTCCTGTTTATTTGGAATGCTCCTGGATACTTGATAGCTAGCTCTTATAAACCTTTTTACCAGAATCTCTACGACAGAGGTGGTGATTCCAACGTGAGCATGACCCCATAGTCACGATGGCAAAATGTATGGGAAATGGGCATTCATATAACACATAGTTTACCTTTACGGTCAAGTGGCAAACACAAACAAATATACCTTATACAGTAGGTAGGCACCCATGTTATTACCATAATAAAACATGTCTGACCAAGGAGATAAAAGCATCACCTGCTACGTCAGCAACATGGCCAAAGTGGTCCCATCACAGGCCAAATACAAACCCTGACCTGAATTGGTTTTAATAGTTGCCACTGGCTATAGAGGCAAGGTGCTCAAGGAAGAGGTGGGATTTCAAAAAGTGGTTTCTAAGTTGCATTGTCAGCGATACTCAAGACACAAAAGATGATGCAACAGAGAATAAAAGTGAAATAAGCAGAAAATTGCAGAAACTGACTTCAGAGTGAAAGTGGAATGCTGAATGCCTCTTGCAACCAATGAGAACATTTGGGAGAGTCAAAGCACTTAGAGAAGATGGAAGAGAAAGCTCTCAGTCAAATAGCGACTGATGGAGAGAAAGTCTACCTAAGGCAATCATTGGGTCCAAAGGTGAAATGGAAGTGCTGAACTCTAAAAAGGAGCTGATGATGACATTTTCCAATGTTCCCATCAAGGGAATCCAGCAATGAGTGGGCCAGTAAGTATTCCGTTTATTGCTCTGGGGCACTTTGAAGGATGCAAGTCCACTAGGGGGATTGAACCTGCAACCATTTTGTCTCTGGGTGGACAGTGTAACCTTTTTGGCAACAATGGCGATTAGAGATAGTAACATTTAGAAATAATAGATACCATGTGGTTAAAATGTCAAGTCCCGACCTAAGGCTCTGCTGAGAGGCTCTCACGGTATTTTTATGAAACTGTTATATTTCCTTATCCTCATAACCATGGAGGGACATTTGTGAATTCTGATCAACAATAAAACTTGTAAGGAAAATTGCTTGAAATGTAGGATTTCTATATTTGGTTTGGTAAATCGTTTAAGCAGTGGAACACTCCAGAGGTTAATGCATGGATCTGGTTGGCTATGATGTCTTCAGTTTGGCAGTCCCCCACTTTGGTCCAGAAAAACAAAATCTAAATCTTAAAAACTATTATATTTAATACCATGACATTTTGTTCAGATATTCATGGTCCCCTGAGTATAAATCCTACTGACAATTTGAACTGATTTGTGACTTTATCTTGTAGCACCACAATGAGGGTGACATTTGTGTTTTTAAGTAAAATGTCCCAAACTGGGAAGAATTGTTGTGACATTTGGGTCACACATTCAGCTGAAAGCACCAATGTACCCAAGTACAGTCCCAGAGCCACTACAGTCTTATGGTCAGCCTCAGTTATGTTAACGGATAAATAAATGTTTAACACTACACTTTACATACAGTAAAAGCACAAAATCAGCTGATCCTAGATCATCACCTGTCAGCTATCGAGACACAGTCGCATCCTACATGTACGTTTTCAAAGCCTGACTGAGGCCATGCAAGATATATGAGGGTGTGTTGGTGTGTGGATTCATGAGTGTGTCCTCCTTATGCCATCAAAGGCTTTTGGTGGGTGCCGCAAGCCTCCACCCTTAGCAGAAGAGGGGCAGGAACTGGCGTCAACCTCCAATTAGAACTTCCCCGCCTCAAAGGACAGTCAGGTGGTCTTTTCTCAATCAGGATGGAAGAGTAGGAGGAAAGTGGCAGGATGGAAGGGGAAAGAGGAAGTGAGGCGAGTGCTGCCATTTATGGAAATAAAAGGGAATTCCTGATATAGTGTTGCCCATGAATATTGAGTGGGCCTGGGCCGGAAAGCGGCGTGTGCTTTGGCTGGTTAGAGGGGATGAAATGTTTTCTGGAAGAAGGAACAAATGGAGATTTTCGTTCGAAATCTAGGCATCAAACACAACAAGAAATTGGCTCTTAAAAATAGGTTTCTGGCAGGATCTACACGAACACAACATACAATGAGCCAAAACTGTATATTGCAATGTTTATTAAAGTTTAAGCCATATAACAACATTACGTATTTTAAAACTCAGCTATAGATAAACAAAAGTGTTTTTTTAGTGTTCTTTAAGGACATAAAATAGCAATAGTTATTTCGTGCTGATTTAATAACACACTCAACCTTAAGTAAAATGGGTGTAGATTTTGTAATTAAAAATAATAAACTAAACAAATAACCCTCATTTGGACCTTACTAGTATTTTTAGAAATCAGTGTAAAATTGCATTTGTAGTACTAGTCATAATTTGTAACGCTCATTCTCTCTCTCTCTCTCTTGCTTCTTCACTAATTCTCCTCCTCTTCCTCGTACCTCCTTTTCAAATTCCTCCCTCCGGATCCACATGTTTTCTATAATCTTCTCTATTCATTGAGGCAGTCTACTTATCTTGCCATCTTTTCTATTTCAGTTCCTCTCCAGGATCGGCAGTTCAATGTTCTTCCAATATGACCTTCCCTCTCCTTTTGCTCGTCCTTCCACTAAGCTTCTCGGAGAAGACTGTGGGGTTACGGCCAGTTCAAAGATTGTCTGCAGTCTAAGGGTTGAGTTTATGAATTTCAAAGGCCAATTCAAGAGCAGAACAAGGGATCAGACTCTCTAATGAGGACACTGTTCACACAGAAAGATGACATGATGGTGTGCATTAACTCCCAATGGCACTAACGGAAAAGGCTACCCTGCTGCAGATTTGGTTCCCAGCAAATGCCACTTGATCAGCCATCTGCTGGCTCAAAGTTACAAGTCTTGCATTGCTTGTAACTGATCTCGAGCAACCATCAGATGAAATTACAGTCCAAATGTCAGAGTTCTTTTGTGAAACTACACGGTGGCAATCTTTATTCAGGATTCTTTCTGTCCAAGGAGGAAATGTACTACAATTCAAAAGTAACTGAGGCTTAATATCCAACCAACTTGCTAAAGGGCACCTGAATAATGTTTGATGAGGCAGGCAGTAGCTTTCTGCACTGAACCCTGTCAAGCTTAGGAATTAGAACCGAAAGCCACACAGGAATACACCCACATCTCCATCCTCCTCACTATAAGATAGGTGCAGAGGGAAGGAAATGTGTGGGCAAGTCTAGGGAGAGGTTCACTGGTTATGAATGAAAGCTGGCAAATCGGTGATTGTTGTTACAGGAACACAAACAATTCATAAAAAACAACTTTACAGATTTGAATTTCTACTATTTTCAACTTTATTGGGTTGGTAGCAACAACAAAACCATGTTCTTTCACAACATTTTGAAAATAAAAAAATAGATACTATGTAATTTAACACAATCTGCCTCCTATTAAAACATCAGCAGCTTAGTTGATTCAAAACAAATGGTGTGCCATACCTTTGACAGAATTTGTCTGATTTTTTTTGGCTGTACAGCAGAATAAAAACAGATTCATACACTTTACATACAGTATACTCATATACCGTATAATGTGTAAAGTTTTAAACATAACTTAATAAATAAATAGATATTATTCTTGAATTCATAAAAACTATTGTTTTACTAAAAGCCCAGATGAATGCACTTGAAAATAAGATCACTTGTTTGAACAAGATAACAGTTTATTTTTCTACCACTCAAGTTTGGTCATTGTAATATAGACACATATAAACAATTACTTTTTTATATATTCATTCATTGGCTCTTGGATTTGTGAAAATTTGAGCCAAGACACACATGTTACATTACCCGCTACAAAAAAGCCCACCAAAGGAATGCATATTTGTGCAACTTCTTACCAAATACTATTATCTTCACTTGAATATATGCTGACGTTTACATTAAATGGTAACGACAGAGCAATTTTTTAGGCTATTACTGAATGTTGTTTTCTTCTGCGTTTGTTGTGTGTCACCATATTGTGAAGGTAATATAGCACTAATTCAGATCCTATACATTTCTTCTACTACCCAACTGCACTTTGCTCCAAAGAAGCACCAAAAACACAAGCTATCAAAATAAAAAGAATCGCACGTTCAGTATTTGACACGGCTCTGCTGTACTCCCCTACCGCTCGCTATTCCTCATATCTGCCAGGTCATATGGCTACACAAGGGAATTCACAAGACAAATCTGATGTCTCCTCTTGTCATATATATTGTAGACATCATATAGTGGAACATGAACCCATTTGAAGGAAGTCTGTGATAAATGGGTGACTTGACCCTTTCTTGGTTAGACCCATTTGAACTATCAATCATGTCAATGAAAACTAACTTCAGAACTGTCACTTCAGATGTGTTCACAGTCCAACCTTATGTTCATGTAGCTGGAAACTGAAAAGGTGCAGCATGTTTTTGTGCCAGTGATAACTTGTCAACATATTCTTTCACTTTAAATACAAAATACATCTTTAGGCACGTATACAGAACAGTCTGTAATGCATCAAAGCTGTATAAAGCAATACTTGTTATATTAACACTGAATCAAAAAACTCATGGTTATGTTAAAGGGGCAGAATTCTGATTAATCAATTCCCCATACTGCTGCTTTACAAAGATGTGGTCGTTTTGTTGTCTGAGCCAACAAAACTGAAACAACAACAGTACAAACTATGGGCAGCCACTCCCAACAAATTATTATTTAAAGTTGATTCCAGTCTACCTGCCTCAAGCAAATTGCAAAAATCCAGAGCAAACTAATGCCTAGTAAAGAAAAAAGGGCATATGGATAACCCAAAAGAGATTTTTTCTCTTGGTGATATTGGTTTTCAAAACCTTAGCTTAAAAACAATGTTGTACTTACATTCGTCCCTCAAATGTAATAAGCTGAAACCTCATGTACTTTCCGTTGTGTTTCCCAAGTGTTTGACCACTTAATGCAGCTTTAAAATTAGGAATGACTTACGCAGGCCACTATCCAGCAACATAGAATGCAGTTACAACATAAATGGGCTAGGTTTGCTGCATCACTTGATTTCTAGCTTGAAGAAATATACACTACAAGGAAGGCCTAAACCACACTGACACCACTATGCGATCAATGACGATATTTAGTATAAATTATTGGCTATGGCACTTGGCTTTATTAATGTGAAATTTATTTTCCTTTGACACGGATCAAATGGGAATATACATTGACTCGACTGACTGTACTAAAGTGCTGTAGCAAGGACTATAGTCGTAACCAGTGGCCGTCTTTGAGTTGTTTTAAAAGCCCACATCGTCTGCACTTTGTGTATAAAAAGCCCCAGATTGGGAGCAGTCTTAAGATTTAACTGGTCAGGAGTGGGCGCAGTAAAAGAACAATCGAGGTTATCCTTAAGTGGAATTGAGTTAACTACTGAACGTATCTGATTCAAACAATCCATTATGGATTCCATTTGTACCACCTATTCGCTGCCCTTCCCAGTACAGTCATATGTTGAAAAGAAAATTCAACAAGCCGAAATGTACAGTTTGATTGCCACTTAGATTTCACCCTGTAGAAAGTGCATACTTAATACTGGGGTGGTTTACAAAGGCATTGACAAGTATCTAAAATTGGGGGGCAGAAGATTTGTTGTTGTTTGTCGTTTGTTGTTTTTAATCAGGAAGTGCCTAGGTGCAGCAGAAAGAGACTGCAATTTAGAAGTCATGAGAAATGTCTGGCACAAAGTGTAACTAACCTCTACAACATGAGTTACTGATAGCCTGAATCATTTATAACCAAATTTAATTCCAGATTTTCACATTCGCATTAAACCGAGCCTTGTCCACAAATTCTAGGAATTACAATTCAATATCAATTCTCAGCATACATGTACCGGTAGTTATCTTTTACAAAGATAACTGCTGCTAAAGCAAAACACCCTTAACATGCCTACATATTCAGGTTTACACAGCCTCTACTATCACTTACCTATACTGAAGTGACTTTTGTGAGTTTGTTAAAAGCAAAGGTGCATTTAATAATGAGTACATCCTCAATCCACCTTAATTACCGAATTCTGTTTTGAAACTAAATACCTTGCATTATAACTAATAATGTGAATGTGAATTAAATGCAGTTTCATTTTGTCAATGCTCTTTGTTCACTATCCAGAATACGTGGCTCTGTATAAACAGTATATACAGGGTTGGATTTAATATTTATTTGCTGGTTAGAAATGGCTGTCATGAGCGCTCAAGCATCAAACTGTTAGCAGAATACTCATAACACAGCCATATCAGGAATGCCACACAAATGGTGGGAATGCTGTTGCTGTTTTGCATAAGCGCAAAGGCGGACCTTGAAAAAAAAAAAAAAGAATAAATTGTGCATCAGTTCACTACTTACAATATAAAGGTCTCAGTGTCAAACAGTCACATCCTATGTCTGAATTCTGACAATAAGGTGCTCTTTAGGGTTACACCAATCAATTGGCAATTAACTATTCTCAGCTAATATTTAAATTGGTAAACAATTAAAACAGCATATCATCTGTTAAGAATCTGACACAGTTCAAACTACAGCAGTAGACAATGGGTTGAATGTTATGACAATTTGATGTCAATATACGTTAGTAACCATTTTAAATCAATTGAAAACTTTACTTATTCCTCATTGCTGGGATTTTGACTTTCTCTAGAGGGTTTCTACATGCCTTAGTTGCGTTGTTTCTTTGCAGTACTCCGTACGGGTTTAATGTTTGTGATGTATGTTTTGCCATACTACAGTGCCATATTACACACATTGACATATCAAAACTGTCAAATTGATGATTGGCTAATCACTCTAATAATAGAAAAAAAGTGTCAACTGACCATTAAATCCTGACTTTTTTGCTTACCTCTTCAGTTCACGTTATGTTTACAGATTAAACAAAAAATTGTTCAGCAGGAATGGACTGCGCACTTTCCTCTACCAAACAGTCAAGGCCAAACGCCAACTGTTATCATAGCACAATAGCTGTCATTGTCACTGTGTGTTTCTACAGTTAAAAAGTCAATATTTTACAACCTTTAGAAAGGTTTAAGAGAACAAGTAAATGTAGGTTATCTAGTCTCAGCTAATGATAGTAATAGAAACAACAAATACATCCAAATGGAAGGTTGATCTTATTCATAACCACTTACTTACTGCAACATGAATGAAACAGTAGTATCACATTTGGTGTCTGAGGAGATATTTGTAAATCTTTTAAAGTTAACAGTTTTATCTTCCCACTATGTCTGACCTGGCTGATGACATACAATGTGATGTAAAGGTTAAGAAAGCAATGGGGAGACTACTTTCTACATGATCTACAGCCAAGGTACATACCACAGGATAAAAAGCCATCACAGATTGCTATCTCTTTAAATCTCTGTTTAGACGCTGCACACATGTGCTTTAAAAGCTTGTAATGCAAATAAACATTGTTTGTGTGACGAAGGCAATGTCAATGGAGTCAGCTGACAGGCTTATACATAAATTGCTTTCTGTTAGGTAAGCCGTGCCAATGTTACTGAAATTAACTAGCTGCTAAGCGTGGTAATATTTATGTTCCCCACTGATAGATTCCAGCAATATTGTCATCCTGAAACAATCCTCCCTTCAGATGGAGCATGAGTTTGCCCTTTTCCTTGGTTTAGGCTCCCCAAAGTCCCTGTCATCTGCCGCACAGTGGCTGAAGGAGCACATCGTCTGCGAGAGCCTACGCATGCCTAGGCGGAACACACTATTAGACAGGCTGTAGATGACACAGTTGCAAAAGCTGTTGCTAATGGCCAGCCAGGTGGTGATGAAGGAGAGGGCAGGGCTATCCAGCACATGGGAGCTTTCAAGCAAGAAGTAAATTATGTAGGGCAGCCATAGCATGTAGAAAACGCTGGTGATGCGGAACAGCACCATTGCGTATCGCCGGTCTGGTCCATGCCCTCCATGATGGCCACCGCCACCCCCTTCACCGGTCTCCATCTCCTGGCTTGGGAAACGAGCCCGTCTTTCACTGATATCCCTGTTGTGCTGCTGGCAAATGCGAAATATATGGTAATAGGTAAAACAAACCACAAGTGCAGCAGGCGCATAGAGCAAACACACCACAAAGCCTGTAAAGAGGGCAGAGGTGGGCCAAGAGTGAGCGCACCACTCAAAAATGTCCCCATGATAGCCTGGCTTACCCCAACCAAAGAAGGAGGGCAAGAAAACCAGGCTAGAGTAGACCCAGATAAGAGTGATGCAGCCTCGTAGCCGGCATGGCGTCACCAGCTGGTTGTAAGACAGTGGTTTTGTTATGGCCAGGTAGCGGTCCACGCTGATGCAAGCCAAGCAGGCCATTGAAACACTCTTCAGAACAGAGATGACGTAGCTAAAGACCTGGCATGTTATGGGCTCCTGGACACCTGCTGGGTAGTGGAGTAGCGATAGGGTGGGAACCAGGCAGCTAAGACCCACCAGCAGGTCCGCATAGGCCATGGTCTGGATGAAGTAGCTGGTGGTGTAGTGATGTAACAAAGGGGCACAGTGGAACACAAAGATCACCGTCAGGTTCCCTGCAATGATCAGCACGGTCAGAAGTACAATGACAGCAGTCTCCAGGACACAAGCCTCCAGGCCTTCGTTCAGCCCCCAGCCCAAGGGACAAGAGTGGTTGGCGGTCCTTCCAGGAAAGAAGTCTCCATGACTGCTGTTGGCAGTGAGCAACGGGTCGGTTGTCAGTTCAGACTGGTTCATTGTTCTGGGTGCTATCCAGGTGGGTCAGGATTGTGGTGTGTCACACATAAGGTAGCTGGCCTGAAACTGGAGAACTGCCTGCCCCCCACCCACCCCCCCCGATCTACACCGGGTGTCTGCAGCCTTCTTCAGTTAACAAGAGCTCAATACTCTCTGTAACACACTCACTCTCCTTTTCACCTTCCTCTCACATAGCTGGGTCTCAATCAAATGAACACTGAATGGAGGAAAATCAATACTGCCTCTGGGAGGGTAGGACAACCCGTTTAGCTCTCCTTTTCCAATCACTCATGGTTAGTGAAAGTAGTGGGTGGTTAACAGTCCGGAGTAGATAGAGAAGAAAAAAAACTGTATTCCTTTAGTAAACCAGCGTAGCAGGAAAGTGTTGTGACCAGCATCTATCCCAAAGGCGAGTTTCCCCGCTGCTTTGCCTGCCAGTCTGTGGCCTCAGCTCCTGATCCTAATGAGGGTTGCCACCGGGAGGCTGAGGGCATAAGCTGTCCACACAAGGGCAGAGAGCGCAGAAGATGAGGGGGAGGACAACATTCGACGAGGTTAAAGCATGAAGCAAAGCACAATGCTGTCAGCTCTTAACACATCCTCACAGGAGATCAAATACGTTAGAAGCATTTGGCTCCTATTTCACTCCAGGAGATCAGATGACATTTACAGAAACCTTTAAAAATTGAGTTTTTGGGCAACCATTGCTAAGAGAAAAAAAGTTTCTTAGGAGTCTCTCTTTGTCTATACCAAAGTTTGGAAAATAATATAACATCCATCTCTGCAAATCAGCTCTTCAATTCGATCCAAACTTCCTCTGTGCCATTGGTGCTGATGTGTTTACAATGTAACAGTAGGCTTCCCCTTATTTTGGTGGTCCTCTGGTCAGTGTCTGGAGCCCATGCATGCCCAGCTTTTGTCTGAATCAAAACACAGACACAGGCTAGAACAACATGGGGATCTCCGCAGGAGATAATGTCACAGCTCTCTCTGCACACACAGCGGTGGGGGAAAAATGTGTATACAAGGCATCCCTAGGGAGAATGAGGGCAAAACCAAGCGCTTTAAAATGTCTGGATGAGTTTGGCTATTAAAGTGATTTAAAGTTGAAATCCAAATGTGCAAACTTGCCTCTCAGTGTTCTGGACTGCAAGTCACGAATGAAAAACAAACAAAAAAGTCCAGTGGCAGATGAAAGTGTTGAATGTAATACTCCCATGCAGGCAGGTGGAAGGACTCTCCTGGAGCAACGAGAGGCCAGCTGAATAGCTCAGCGCTCCTCTCACTTCGACTCCTCAGCAATCCTGTGGCAGACACTTGCAGAGGGGGGTGTGAGGATCAATAGGCAATCCACCTATTTATCCCATGAAGTGTAACTTGCATTTTTGTTGTGATATTTGTATGCATTTGCAGGCAACACCATCTCTTCGGCTGCATCATGTAACCATATATTTTCTAACTTGCTTTTGTCCTTAATGTATGTGCTCTGTTTGGTTGTAGAGGTATGGGATCCTACAACTCCTCTCTCAGTATGTCTGTCGCCCTGAACAAAACACGGGTAGCGCAACAAAAGGGAATCCACTCTAGCAGCACAAAGAAAATACCAAGTCCCATTCGGAGTCCCAGTTTCAAGCACTGTCCTCTGCAAACGTCCCCTTTTTGTTTCCATTAATCAGGACAACCCACGATTTTAATAAATGAATCCTCGGATCCTGGCATACAGATAGAGATGAATGCAATGCATCTGTCAAAAGCAGCAAGTAAAAAGCAAGAAAAAAAAAGATGAGGGCGCTGATGAAAATGAGTTAAATCTGCAGCGAGGGAAGCGAGGGGACGAAGAGTCCCTCAGCCCTGGTGCAGTGAGAAGGAGAGATGCTGTGACTGGCTTACACTTCCCTCCCTCCCTCCCTCTCCACACAATCTCTCTAGCTTGCACACTCAGCCTCTCTCTCTTTCCACACACATACTCAAAAACACACACACATGAACCCTCCCTCTTTCTCGCTTTCTCTCCCTGAGCTTTTCGCTCATTGCCCCGCCTCCTCCCATCCCAGCTGCACCTGAGGCGCCCTGCCACATTATTCTGTCTCTCACACTGGCTTTCTCCCAGAGGTACATTTGGATACATTCCCTATTTACATATTACTTATCTCTCAGTCTCTGTTTTCTATTAACTAAAGCCCCCCACACACACCCTCTTTTCTTTCCATTCCTATTTCTGTCCCACTTCTTCCACATAATCTCCATTTTCCATAGATCTAACTATAGCCCCAATAAGTGAAACATTTTTTTTTTTTTTTTTAACAAAAAATATACCTTTTTTTATAATATACTTTAAAACAACCAACAGTATTTCAAAAATAATTATAGATACAATATCACTGATACTGGGGAACATGCACTTTTCATGACATCTTTCTTTGGGGGAAGAAAGTGTCACTGGTCATCAGCCTCACTATTATGTTCATGAATACCGGATGACCCTCGATCTCAATAATCCAATGGAACATCTTGGACATCTAATCCTAGTCAAATGAGTCCTCTCCCCTATTTAGCCAGATACCAGGTTATTTTGGATACTTCATGTATCCTTTATTTAACAAACAGCTAGGCACAGCTATACCTGCCCCTTGGTTACAGTTGCCCAGCATTTGGGCCAGTTGGGAGCATCCTCTGGACGGCAGATGATAAGGAGGATCAAGTGACAGCAAATTGCCTCAGCAGAAGGGAGGATGGAAAGAAACGGTCACGCTTTGTGGCTTGGCAGGAAAAAATAAACTTCAGCGCAACTTTTCTCACATTGTTGTTTTCATCATATTTTACAAGAAAAGCAAAAGAAAAGCAACACGAAGTGGTTTTTCGAAAGATGAATGGAAAATGGCCACTTTGGAAAGCACATTTCCTCTTCCAGAGTGTGGTAATTTGATTATTTGGAAAAGAAGCTAGCTAAAAGAGCTAAATTCGAACTGCAAAATATAGACTTTCTGCCAAGCAATTGTTATTCACCTTTGTGTCAATTGGACAAAACTAAATAATTGAAAAGCGCAAATCTACACCGAACCATTAGAGCAAAACCAAATGTGTTATCTAAAAAAACAACAGGAGAGACATTCACAGACAATGGCTAGACCTAGAACTGACTGAGTGTCCTTGAGGAAGATGTAATGCAATGTCAGAAGATTACACAGGAAAATGTGGCATGCAGCCAATCCAATACTTTAAGAGAACTGTTTATGACAGAGCCTTCAATCCAATAAAAACGCCCAGGGACTACAGATGAAAATTAGCTCATCTTACTCTGCCTTAATTACATTCAGGTGGAAGCTGAAATGTTGAATAATGTCCCCTGTCCCTGGTTAATAAACACATCTGCAGTTTAGGGTAACCTAGCAATACCCATGATACTCACGATAATTAGTAGATGAGGAATTTTAAAAAATCACTGGATAACATCAAGAAACATAAGTATGATTACACTGATCATGTTAATATAATTATTATACAAATAATGGCATATATATATATATACACATAATCAAAATCACTGTTGAGCGAACTCTGTTGTAACACTGTTATAACATGGAAGTTATATCAGCATCAACACCAAATGTAGTTTAAAGTGAGCTAGTGAAACTGTACAACTGGGAGAACATATCATGTGTCAGCTGTTACAGGTTTTAGCTGGATGAGTATTGTCTGTTAACAAATGTTTATGAGATAACAATTAGAGGTTAAACTTGTGATGGAGACCGCATATTGTTCAGCACCTCTGTTGGTAAATCTGGTCATTCAAAATAAATGGTGTCATGGAAAAATAAAAGAGAGGTCAGGAAGAAAAGAAAAGTAAAAATAACTACACAAAGTAAAGACAACAAAAAAGTGAATGTAGACAGTTGTGCTGTCACTATGGAAGGAGTCAGTGAATGGGGATCACTCAGTAGAGTGCTCTTTGGAGGTGGACACTGATGAAAAACACGACCAGAAGGCCATCGTTAATAATTCATTCTGCTCCAAAACAAAGCCAGCGGGGCCACTTGGAAACAAAGGTGGAGGTTGATTCACCTTTCACTGCTTCTCAGCATCCCACCCTCCTCCACCCCTGGGCTCCAGCTGATTCCAGTCAACAGCAAAGCATTGGCATAAAAAGGGATTTACTACATTAGGTGCTATCGACAGCAACACACAGTACAGAAAGTAACGAGGTAGGGGGTTTAAAATCTTCTTAAAAGGACAAGCGAGTCAGTGAGTAAAGTTTATATATGCAACACCCTTCTAGAGCCCCTTTCTAGAGACTCTAACACATGAAAGCGTCAATCCAAGGCCTAAAAATACACTTTAAGATACATATAAAAAAGTCAATTTACAGAATGTGGCGGCAATGTAAACCTTAACAGTTGTCAGCCTCGGCCTGTGTCATAATGTTGACCAAGAAATAGCCAGTATTGCCAGACCTAGTCAGGTGAATATGTAATATGAGATAATGATGAATTACATTATGCTTTCCTTACATTGGGGCGATTGCTACATTTCCCAATGTGTGTTACTTGTACCTGCATCAGACATTAAGTTGTCAAAGATTGACACACGAAAGAAAAAATGTATCCAGTAAAATAGATCATGTTTTAATTAAAGATCTTACTATTTACTGTTTCAGACTTTCTACCTCTCCTGGATCTTTCACATGTTGGAGTGTCAATGCCTGTAATTATCTCTATTGTGAACATCATATTAAAGTCAGTCAGGTAGGGCAGCTAAACATTTGTAATATAAATGAAAATAAAAGAGCAGATTATTGTTTAAGGCAGTGATGGTTGGGAAGGAACATTCTGTTGACAGTTAATGTAAGAGAGAAGATGTATGAAGCAGACACAGTGGGAAGTGGAAAATGTCAAATGTAAAGATAGGAGCTAGCTCACAGCATGCGGAAAAACTATTAACAGCTATAATATTCCTTTAAATGATAACAATTTATGTTGAACACTCTTAACAGAAAAATCGTATATACATAGTGACCTCCAGCACTATGTCACCTTGTATACTGCGCATACAGCAGTTAAATAGTA